CGCCTGCTCAGCGCCGCTGCCGGTGCTGCGAGATCGCCTCTAGGTCGCACGGGGCCGGGGAGGTCATTTTGCCTCTCCCCCTGGGAAGCACGTCAACAGCAGCCACATTAAACCGCCTTTTGGCGAGAGGGAATCCAGCCGCTGCTGCGCGGCCCCGCTCAGCGCCGCTGCCAGTGCCATGAGATCGCCTCTCTCTAGGTCGCACAGGGCCGGGGGGATCATTTTGTTGTCAGCAGTGGGCGAAGCTGCGGCAAAATGTCACCCATGGAGCTCTGGGAGCAGCAGAAGGCGTTGGGCTCCTTCTGGAGCAGAAGGGAACCAGAGTGACAGCCGGGGCGAAGAACAAGACGAGAGCTCAAGTCTAAAAACGTTTAATTTGCCTCCACCGGGCTCTCCCCCCACGGACTCTGCTCCTCCCCTTGCTGCCTCCAGTCCCCCTGCCACGCCAGTTCCCATCTGGCCCAGCTCATCAAACAGCCCATGGCTAGCAGCCAGCTGGTCCCACTAGCCCAGGACCAGCACTGGGCTCGGTTTTACTTTGGGCAGCAGAGAGCTGCCTGCCTCTCCCAGCTTAGCAGGCAACACCCAGCAAACACACTCATCCCCCTGCGTCCCCCCATGCCCTGCCCACACCCCTTGGACAGGATGGCGCGGGACTGGGACCATGGTCCTCATCTCCTCCCGAGCAGCCGTGCAGCGCATGGCTGTGGGAAGCATGTTGGGATGTGTGATGAGGACGGCACCCGCCGGAGAGCCGCCATTCCCACCCCGAGCCATGGCTGCTGTCAGCAGTGGGTGAAGCCGTGGCAAAATGTCACCCATGGAGCTTTGGGAGCTGCAGAAGGCGTTGGGCTCCTTCTGGAGGGGAAGGGAACCAGAGCGACAGCCGGGACGAAGAACAAGACGAGAGCTCGAGTCTAAAAACGTTTAATTTGCCTCCACTGGGCTCTCCCCGCATGGACTCCACTCCTCCCCTTCTTGCCCGGGCTGGCAGCGCTGGAGCTCGGTCGCGATCTCCTCCATGACACCTGGTGGGAGGGAGGGAGGAAGAGCTGGGCCACGCTGCCCAGACCCACCCGGCTGTTTGCTGGGCACGGGCTGGGACGGGACTGTGCCAGTGGGCAACTGGGGCCTGTTGGTTTCCCTCAGGTGGGGACCCACACCCACAGCCCAGAGGAGGGCTTGGGGCTCCACTGGGATGTTCATACAGCTTCCTCAGCTCTCGAATTTGCTGGGAATTGGACACATGCAGGAGGCAGCTCCTTCAGGACTTCAAGGCTGCTGCTCTCGGCGTCCTCTTGCTCTCTCACGAGAGACGCAATTTCGTTCTGTGTGAACACAAGCACGTGAAGGGATTACTGGCTGAATGTCCACCAGATGTGCCCAACAGAGCCTGGGGACCATCCCTCCACCCTCGGAGCAGGGACATCCCGCTTCACCCCTCTGGGGACCACTGTCCCCAACCCAGGAAGGCAGGTGATCCACAACGGCCGGCACTTCCCAGTGCAGCCAGCCCCACCGGTGGCTGAGGTGGCTCTTGGCCCTCCTGGATAGTGCAGTATTTGTGCTGGGTACACGGTGGCAGCATTGAGACAGTTTTAGCTCCGAGAAGGCAGCGGGGTCTGACTAGTGGAGTCCTATTTTTGGCTGCCCCTTTGCATTCTAGTCGTGCCATGTGGCAGGCCGTGAGCTGGACTATGGTGTGGGCAGTGATGCTGGACACATGGGAGGGGAAAACCACCCCAATTCAAAAGTACCAGCTGAGAAAGGGAAGAGATGAAGAGCCCGGAACAGACCTGGAGGTCACGGATCCTCTGCTGCATCCGCTCTATCTCATTGCTCAGCTCAAAGACAGAGCTGAAGCGCACAAAGTTGTTGTGG